TTTGTCCCATATATTATGTCCCATCTCTGGTTTTCATCATACAGGGCATGGGAGGGGCATCTGGAATTGCTCAAGAGAGGTTACTGGAGTTCATGGGCTCATGTAAATTTGCCTTCATTTTATAGAATTTAATAATATTAATAAAATAGATAAAAATATAAAAGAGAGTTCATGTGGTGCTTGATATAGACTCATGGGGGGGGGGGTGAAGAGTGAGGGCCTCACCATGGCTGAGACTGAGAGGTGAAAGGCCAATTGCTAGATTTATTTATATTTTATCCCCTCCACTTGTACACACATTTGCAGAAGAAATGAATAATAATAATTAAAAAAAAGAAATATGAAGAGATACATAGTAAGAGGGCTTGAGTAATAAAGGTGTTATAGATATACTGTAGCTGTCTGGCTCACTTTTTGGCTGAGAAGGAGGGAGAGGATCAGTTGGTTAATCTCTACTGAAGCTGCGGAGATCCATTGGAGCAGACCAGCTCAAGTCGAACAGCTGAGCTGGGTGTGTGTGCCCATGTGCAAGGACTTGGTGGCTATAGCGTGGGCTGCTGTTGGTCCTAAGGAGGCTCGAGGGAGGTCATGGGGATGGAAGCCATTTCCAATTCATCTGCCCTTCTGCCCTTGGGAAACTACAATTCCCACAGATCAAACTTTGTCTTCTTTTTATTAGGGGTGGATTTAGGGGTCTTTGATAACAGTAGCTTCTTACAAATTGCCAAAAAAAGGACAGGAAGTCATATTTGCATTTTCATTGTATTCTGTACTCCTGTACTATTTATTTAACTTCCATGTTGAAGCTAGTGCAATATTAATTGAATGAAATTCTGTGTTTTAGTTTTCAGCTTGTAGTCATATACATTTCCATATTGGCTTCTGTTTCTCATTTGTTTGATTTTAATGTTACAATATCTCATACATGAAACAGAAGCTTCATTCTTATCCCTCTCATATTCGTTACACATTGGATTAAGTTTAATGATGTTCGGACGAAGGGATGAAGAACCATAAACATAATGTAGACAGGTTATCACATGCTATCTAAACCAGTGTGCTTAGTCTTAGACTAGATTTAATTTCACCTTTCTCTAGACAACAAATCCATTGCAGCATCTTGATCGAATTCCAGCATCAGATATTCACATGCCTTTATGATGGAATATCCATGCCTGTTTGGAGGAATTTTCTAATTAAGGTGCTATATTTTCTTTCCACTCGCATACAAGACCTTGCTACCAGTAAAAATACAATCCAACTGTCTCCATTTGACAAGGACAGTCCTGTTTAATTTTATGTCACCCCAATTTTTCTGCTTTAAAAAAATTCCAGTTTCCTCTCACTTCCCCCTTTTGACCCCAGCTTGCTGCAATGTCTATAAACTAAGTGTAAAGGTAGGTTGCAGGAAGGAGAGACCCTATGAAGGAGAAGGGACTTGAGACTTGGGCAAAAGCAAATTGTTACAGCCTCTCCTAGCTTGATTGTACACTTGGACAGGATAGTCCATCAGAAGGAGAAGGACTTTGAATAAATGAGTCCTCTGCAAAGAAGAAGGAAATCCAACAAAGGATTCCCCCAGGCAGGAAGCAGCCAGGCTTTGAAGCTGCAAGCCTATTCAATGCTAATCAAGGTGGCCAATTTCAACATTCACCCTTGCCTCAAGCAGACAAGAACTCTTTCTCCCACCTTGGACATTCAATTAATATATAAACCTCACTTGCCTAGTTTCGAATAGACCTCACAACCTCTGAGGATGCCTGCCATAGATGTGGGTGAGACATCAGGAGAGCATGCTTCTGGGACATGGCCATACAATCCAGAAAACTCACAGCAACCCAGTGATTTTGGCCATGAAGGCCTTCGACAACAAAATAGCCACTCTATGTGGCAGCTGTATCAAGTTATCATCACAATAATTATATCAATAGTTAGACCTAGCAGCCTCATTCTGTTTTACAACTTGACACAATTTAAAAAAAATAAGAAAAGGATCATCAACAAAATGGTGTGGGGAAAATGTTATTCTTTTCATAGGTTAAGAAGTGCTGGTGTGCATTATTATATATAAGAAAGTAGCCCCCTCTTGTGGTTAAAAGGAACACACAATTGAGGGAATGATGAAACATGGGGAAAGAGGCTGAAAAAAGCACAATTAGGACCTCATCACACTAGAGAAAAAATCCACTTTAAATCTGGTTGCTGCCTCCTACAGAATTCTGGCGTTTGTAGCTTAGGGAGGAACCTTTAACAGCCCCACTAAACTACAAATTCCAGAATTCGGCAGGAGGCAGAAACCGGATTTTAGGTGGATTTTTTCTGTAACGTGTTGAATAGTTTGATTAACATACACTTTAAAACTATTTTTTCTTTCCATGAAGATCTGTTCTTGTGTGTGAAACCTATTATATATGCTGTTAGTTTTTGCCATTTTAGTTGACTTTGGAAATATTTGATGTTCTCAAATTTTAAAATGGGAATAAAAATAAATCCAACAGAATATAAATGCAGATATCTTAAATGCACTCCTCTAAAAACCAGATCTAAAGTCAATTCATTCTCTAGTGTGATGAAGTACAGAGGTGGCCCTAGGTAATTTTCAACGGTAAGCAAACAGTATTCCCCCCCCCCCCCCCCGCCCAAACCAATCACTGATATATATTTTCTGTTCGTCATGGGAGTTCTGTGTGCCATATTTGGTTCAATTCCATCATTGGTGGAGTTCAGAATGCTGTTTGATTTTAGGTGCACTATACATCCCAGTAACTACAACTCACATATGTCAAGGTCTGTTTTCCCCCAAGAGCGCCTCAAGAGCACCCCTGGGCAAAATCAACTATACTGCAAATGCAAATGCTAACTTTGCGTAATGGGTTGAGCCGCCTCTGATGAAGTACTTATAAAGAGCAAATTTAATAGATCTCTGCATAAGTCTAAGAAACCAAGTTTCTCACTGTTTGAGCTTTAGTTTTCAGGCTGTTGCTTAATGTGGGTGTGTGGAATCATGCTTAGTTTCATTTATTCTGAATTGCAACATAGTTCTAATTTTAGCAGTATTCTTTTCTCTCATGCTCAGTTTCCCACAAGTTGAGAATAACATCTAATAAGTGTTATTACTGAAACGTATCAAGTCTATGCAAGAAGCCCCCAGTGGTGCCGTGGGTTAAACCACTGAGCTGCTAAACTTGTTGACCAAAAGATCGCAGGTTTGGATCCAGGGAGCGGCGTAAGCTTTTGCTGTCAGCCCCAGCTTCTGCCAACCTAGCAATTCGAAAACATGCAAATGTAAGTAGATCAATAGGTACCGCTCCGGCAGGAAGGTAACGGCGCTCCATGCAGTCATGCTGGCCACATGACATTGGAGGTGTCTATGGACAACGCTGGCTTTTCGGCTTAGAAATGGAGATGAGCACCACACCCCAGAGTTGGACACGACTGGACAATATCAGGGGGAAACCTTTACCTTTTCTATCAAGTCTACGTAGTCCTCCTAAGGGCCTTGTAAATGCTTAGCATGAAAGATGGTTGCTTTGTTGCAACTGCTCTGAAATTTTTAGTTTTAGAACTACTCTCATATCTTCCTTGACATTAGAAAAGGCATCTTAAATTAGTGAAACTTAAATTCATGAAACTTAAATTAAGAATTCACCATATATGCACTAGCTACATGATGCACTCATGCAGTCATTTTGCTCCCAATTCCAGAAGAGTCAATTTCACTTAGGTCCCACTGGAATCAACAGGCATAATTGCCATGAAAAACTAATAATTGCAATAAAACATACAAGGAAGTCTTATGTATTCTTATGCAAATTCCACTGGGTTAAGCAAGACCTATTTCTAGATAGGTATGCATTTTCAATTTAAACCCCATTAACTTTCTGTAGATTGGGGTCAATGTGACTAATGTTGCCACAAATTTGTATAGGCTTATAGAACTAGCTTCTAGCTAGTTTTGGCATCTTAGATCAGAATGGCATGTTTGGAATGCTATAAACACAAGTGAGACCTATAATGAATGTTGCAGTGTGGAATTATTCTGTTCAACCAACTATGCCCTCTACCAGGTTACTTTGGCACCCTCCAACTGCCCCAATTTGGCAGGGACTGTCCTGATTAATCATCAGTCATCTCACATTTTCAACTGCTTCTAAAATGTCCCAGCTTCTCTTTTCTCTTCCTACTATCCTGTTTTCATCAGTGTAATGCCAATATATATTGTACAAGTTTAAAATGTCCATGCTGATAGCTGTGAAAGAGTTAATCTCTGGAGCATTATGAATGAAGCATGCATAGAACAGACAAGGAAGATATTGCAATAGACTGGACACTGAATTAATGAGCTGATAACAGTGGGGTATAAATATAGCAGATGCAATTTCTTCTATTTTTTTCTCTTCTCTCTTGCTTTGTGACCGTGCTAACAAATAAGTGTTATTGTAATGAATGAAATGTGTAAATAAAGATAAGAGCCGCTGTTGAAGCAGAAACAACTGTCTGAAATCAGTTAATTGGATGATAAGAAGTAAGTTGGCCAGAAAATTGCATTGATAGTTTTGTGTTCTGTTTACTTTGGTTGCTGAAAACTGAGTTTGAGTGTTTCATTTTGCAAAACTTGGAATTTTCCCTAACCCGGTTACCTCCTGTAAGAGTTATGGCATCAATGAGAAGAGGACAAAGAAGATATCATTTTGCACAGGGCTTTCTTTTACTCATTAATTTATGTACTGTATAGAAATGAAAATTAGCAGCAAGTGTTATCATTTAAATGGAATAGAATGTATCTCACTATACTGGGAAGACTGCTGCCAGGGGTACATTTACACTGTAGAACTAATGCAGTTTGATACCACTTTAACCTCTCAATCTGAAGGAATTCTGGGATTTGTAGTTTGATGTGGCACCAGCACTCTTTGGCAGATAAGTCAAAGACCTTGTAACACTACAGAACAGGTAAAGATTAAATACATTTAAATAAACATTTCCCATTTTTAATACAGGTATCTCAGATGACTACATAACACCCATGTTCCAATTCTATAAGAGTATTGGGGAACTGAAGATGACACAAGAAGAATATGCTCTACTCACAGCAATAGTTATCTTATCTCCAGGTAATTCGATTCCTTTGTTAATAATGTGTGTGTGGCAGGGGAGTGGTTTAGAAAAATTGCAGAAGGATAAGGGTTGGACATTTTGAAAAGGGTTGGACATTTTGAAAAGAATAACTCAAATGATAAAGATACATTTGTGGGATTGAGCATCTGGAAGAGAGAGAGGAGAGCAGAGATCACAGGAGGGGCTTCAGATAAAGCACCACAACCACATTTCATCCATTCTGCTATTTTGAATCCAGAGGATCCAACTCCTAAGACCAATACAGTTTTCTACTCACATTGTTGTATGTAAAAAATGTTCAAAAATAATTTAAAAATGAAATGAATTAAGTTTCTGAATGAATATGGGCCGGGCTGGTAGCACAACTGGTTAATCAGCTGCAATAAATCACTGCCGACCGAAAGGTGACTGAGTCGGGGTTGAGCGCCTGACTGTTAATAGCTGTTAAAAAATAGCGGTTAAAAAAAATGCCCAACTCACTGTCGACCTAAGCTGTTCGAAAACAGCTGTGAGCTGTGAGTAGAGGAATCAGGGACGGGAAGGCTAATTTATGACACCATAAAAATGCCAGAGAGCAAGGAGGAAATACTACCATCAAAAAGGGTCAGTGTCATAGTGGAAGAAGCGACAGCTCCCCCTGTGGCCGAATTGGTGGAAGAACTGCTGAATGGCTTCTATCTGTCTGTATGTCTTGTATGTCAAAAACGGCACTGAATGTTTGTTGTGTATATGTACATTGTGATCCGCCCTGAGTCCCCTTCGGGGTGAGAAGGGTGGAATAGAAATAATGTAAATAAATAAATTATTACATATTACATGACTGCAGGATTGTTGTTTATTTAAAGGTGTACAGTTTGGTCTCACAATTGGGTACATTTACCAATGTAATAGGAGTACTATCAACTCCTAACATTTTTAGCCAGATTGTGGGGTGAAATGAGGACATTTCCACTCCCAAATAAAACTCTACTCTCCAAGAAATTTCCTCTCTTCCCAAATTTGTAGCATTGCAGTAACTCAAAACTTTTGTTAATAATTTAGAATAAAGTTTAGGAGACCACAGAAAAGTCAATGGCAAACCTAAAGCTGGCCCTCTGCTAAAGCAATGTGAGTAGATGAATCAGAACTGCATTAAGCACGAAGGTATTTTACGCACAGCTTTTTGGAGGAAAGTTTACAAAGAAAGCTCTTTGGCAAGGAGATGGCGTAACAGCAGCCCCCTGTGTCCAGAACAGAGCACAGCCTCCAAAGATGCCGAATGATGAGAAAAAGCCTAAATATACCTCTATCTGTTGCCTGTTTTGTCATTGTATAATCGGCATTTAATGTTTGCCGTATATGTGTTCTGTGATCCACCCCGAGTTCCCTTCGGGGTGAGAAGGGCAGAATATGAGTACTATAAACAAACAAACAAACAAACAAACAAATAAATAAATAAACACTGCAAATGTAAACATTCTGGGTGTTAATTATTTTCAATATCTTAAATTTCTGCAATCCCAAATGTGGGAAAACAAAGGAAAATTTCAGGAGCAGGGAACATTTCTTCTTAGCCTCTGATTGTAGCACTGTGATATAACTTAAAATAATATAGATAATTGTGTCTCTCTCACCTGAATGTTTTTTTTAATCTAAAATATAGATCGGCAATATATACAGAACAGGGAATCTGTGGAAAGGCTTCAAGAGCCCCTGCTGGAAGTTTTGCAAAAGTTCTGCAAGCTTTATCATACCGACAACCCTCAACATTTTGCCTGCCTCTTGGGTCGTCTTACAGAACTACGGACTTTTAATCACCATCATGCGGACATGCTGATGTCGTGGAGAGTCAATGATCACAAGTTTACACCTCTTCTTTGTGAAATATGGGATGTCCAGTAATAAGAATGGATTTAGTTGCAACCCTAACCACGTGTACTTGGAAAAATAGAACTGACTTCATGCAAATGTTTTCAGTATCAATTTTTATCACCTGAACCTAAAAGCATTTATAGTAAATTTTTCTTACAGTAGTTTGTCAGTTAGTTTTTTAACAAACATTATCCTAACGACATGTACTGGAAATTCTGGGGTGATGGTCTTGTTCTCCAACTTTTCACTGCCCTTTTGGAACAACAACAACAACAAATTCCCAAGACATGCCTGAAGTTGTTATACTCTTATCTCTTCTGCAAGTAAACTGATTGTATCTACATATCTTCCTTCAGAATTATGAAATCTCCGTGTGTGTTCATTATATTCTGCTCAGTTCAAATGTTTTATTGACAATTTTGTAGTTGCTATAAGAACTCAGTAAATATTATTTTGCCCAAGTATTCTTCTTTATGTTTAAACGTCGAAGAAATATTAACTGGGGAGGCTATTTCTTTTGCTTTGCAGGAGGGAAGGAGAAATGTTATAGCCAAATACATTTGGAAGTAAGACTCTTGTGATGTCAGTCAAGAATAGGGTGCGAAACCTGTGGCCTAGGGCTGTAGGTAACTCTCAGTCAACAAAACATTGAGTTGAAATCAGTTGAAATTATAGATTTTTCAATTTTATAGAGTTCAGGGTGACCGTCCCTTTAAGAGTATAGAATCACTCCTCTTATATCATGCCTCCACATCACACTCACATGTGGAAACTTAAGAGATGGCAATACTTTCATCTTATTCATCACATGGCCAGTATTTATTTTTTTTGTTTTCCATCAGGAGAACCATCAGTTTCCCATCCTGTTTCACTGCCCAACCGTCAGCAATGCTTTTAACCTGGATCACTGGCTCTTGTATCCTATGGGGTATGATGCAAAACAATAGGATCCCATGGAAAGCAGTGGTTTTAACCTGGGTTGCTGGCTCTTGTACGCTATGGGGTTTGGGGCAGAACAATTTTATCCCATGGAAAGAAGTGGTTTTAAACTGGTGTTAGTCTCCTTTAATGTAAGGGGCTTTGGGCAGGGCAAGGGATCTCTTGGTTCTTGGATATTATTGTTTCCCATTGCACCTATTTTTCAGTTGTAGACATGGGAGTAAAGTGTGATAAAAGGTACCAACTGTAAACCGCCCCAAGTCGCCTGTTGGTTGAGAGGGACGGTATATAAATATAGTAAGTAAGTAAGTAAGTAAGTAAGTAAATCAATAGGAATTCTTATCATGGATTGCTGGCCCATGTTCAGAGTTCCCTCCTTTTCAGGACATTTCTGCCTCTTTTCAACTCTGGAACATGTGATGAGCTCCATGCCTCTCCATGCTTGAAATGAGGCAGAAGTTTCCTACGAGGGGGACGGAGTTCCCTTCTTTCAGGACACTTCTGCCTCTTTTCAACCACAGAGGGGGCTATGCATGACAGCCAGAAGTAGTTTAACTCATGTGATGAGCTCAAGCTCCATGCTTGAAAAGAGGCTGAAGTGTCCTAGGACTAGGAAATTTCCCAATGTGATAATGTGATATGACTTTGAAGGGAAGAGGTACAGATTCAGCTGCCAAAAAGAGGAAACATACGTGGCTAATTGCTAGTGAAGGCCCTGTGAGCCCAGTCCTATGAATATGCTCATAATTAGGTGATGGAACTGGACTCAGGCAAAAGTATGATAGCTGGGACCCTACGCTGATTGCGCACCGCAGGTCAGAAGGGAAGATGTACGCGAGACAGCTCAGCGAGTGAGAGATGCAGCTGCGAGGAAGGCAGGAGGAGGGGGTCTACAGCTCACATATCCTGCCCTCTCGGAGCCCCGGCTCCTCCACTGTTAGAAAGCAGGTGGGGGAAATCAGAAGTAGAGGAGAAGGGGGGGGGATCCGATTTCTGCCTCATTGTTCGCATCAGGGCCTTGTAAAAGCCTTTCCTGGCCGCCAGCACACTTTCTGCCCTTCAAAGAAAGCAGCCCCAGCAGCTGGGAGCAGTCCAAGCGGACTTCCCTTCATTAATTCTGGCGTGCGTTGCACAACTAGCGTAGGGTTCATAGGGTCCCAGCTATCATACTTGTGCCCTGGACTCATGGGATCAAAGTGCTTTGCTATTTTGATTAAATGACAATATCTACTATTCCTATTTCACCCTTTAGGCCTCTTCACTCTCATTGAATGTAGCTGCAGTCCTCTCAGATGGAAAACAATATTTGCTCTTCCATAGCCATGTACTAGCTGTGACATAGGAGTAGTGATTAACCAATGATGTTATATTGCTAATTACTAACAGTTGTACAACTAATAATCCCAGGAATGGTTGTGTGGTTCATCTCTGAACGGAGAAGGCCCATAGGGCAGAAGTGTCTTCTACAGCATGTACCTCGCATTTGTAGAAAACTTATTATATACTCACATGGAACTTACATATATAACATCTCCATGTTTGTACAATATGGACAATAATTTTATTTTACAAAATGCTGTCCATCAAAATTTACTTTGGCAAGACATTCAGATGACTAAGGGATTTGTTTTCTTGCATCCTCTGGGATTTCTTTTTAGACTGGCAAGCTTCCAACCTTTTGGATCTTAATGTTAAGACTAGCAGTTTGTGCTCGAGGGGACATGAGGAGACGTGAAAACTCTATGCTTGTTTATACCTGTCATGCCAATTTACACATAAAACGTCTGTAGATGAAGTCATCATTAATGGATGGCCAAGTTGCAGTGAAATAGCACTAACTTGTGCACAGGACATACTCAGATGTAGAAAATTATATGAATCCCACATACATTGCAAATACACAAGCACAGACTTTTGATACAAAGCTACAATTCTGTTTACTCACTAAAACAAACCCATGTTATGCTTGCTGCTTATCACATGAATCAAACGATGTAGATGTAATGCAACAGCACTAGCCAGAGGGTATTTAAATACACATGTTGACCCAAGCACATGCAGCTGGTAGTAGTTTGCAGCATGGATAGAAATGCACCTAGTATGTCAACAGTGGAAACAGGTTAGCCAGGTTACTAGTGGGTGTTTTTAAATCCGTGGATGGTTGAATCTGTGGATGGTCGAATCCATGGGTGTGGAAGGCCAACTGTATGCAGTTAACCAGCACTTATGGGGTTGGCAGATGCTGGATAAATGTACTATCTGGTTGATTGATAGTTACTATTAAAATAGGTCTAAAATAATACTGTAACAGGGGCCCCTGGTGGCGCAGTGAATTGAACTGCTGAGCTGTGGAACTTGCTGACCAAAAGGTCAGCAGTTTGAATCCATAGAGTGGGGTGAGCTCCTGTTGTTAGCCCCAGCTTCTGCCAACATGCAAATGTGAGTAAATCAATAGGTTCAACTCCAGCAGGAAGGTAACGGCACTCCATGCAGTCATGCTGGCCACATGGCCTTGGAGGTGCCTACTGACAACGCCGGCTTAGAAATGGAGATGAGCACCACTCCCCAGAGTTGAACTTACAAGATATATATACATACAATATATTAAATTATTAGTATAGTACAATATCAGTATTATATATTACTATATTGTACTACACCATTATATTGTAATATTATTAGTAATATTACATGTAATATAAAATATATAATTATAATATTGTATTAGTAGTAGTAGTATGATACTGTATTACATTATCATATCATAAATATTATATATATATACAATATATTATATTATATTATTAGTAAAGCACAGGAGACAAGATGGAACTGTCTTCAATTGCAGCCCCCTCTCTCTTCACTCATATATGTGTATGGTGTGTGTGTGTGTATATATATATATATGGTGCATACACACACATATATTGTGTGTAAAGATATGGTGTATCCACACACACTTATATACTATACTAGCTGTCCTCTGCCACGCGTTGCTGTGTATATGTATTTTGTGTGTGTAAATATTTGTGTATATGTGTATGTGTATGTTTGCATATATGTGTGTGTGGTTTTGCGCAGGCATTGTAATGTTTGGGTTTTGTTTTTGTTTTTTTGCTTTTTACATCTCTTCTGCTGTGTTTTTCAGAGGAACGAGAGACCAGATTGCCAATATCCACTGGATAATGGAGAAAGGCAGGGAGTTTCAGAAAAACATCTATTTCTCTTTTATTGACTATTCAAAAGCTTTTGAATGTGTGGATCATAATAAATTGTGGCAAGTTCTTAGTGGTCTGGGCATACCAAATCATCTTGTCTCTCTCCTGAGGAATCTGTACAAGGACCAAGTAGCAACAGTGAGAACTGACCACGGAACAACAGACTGGTTGCATACCCAACCTATTCAACTTGTATGCAGAACACATCATGCGATGTGCGGGGCTTGAGGAATGCAAGGCTGGGGTGAAAATTGCTGGAAGAAACATTACCAACCTTAGATATGCAGATGATATCACTTTGATGGCCAAAAGCAAGGAGGAGCTGAGGAGCCTTCTAATCAAGGTGAAAGAAGAAAGAGCAAAAGCTGGGTTGCAGCCAAACATTAAAAAAAACCAAGATTATGGCAATAAGAATGATTGACAACTGGCAAATAGAGGGGGAAAACGTAGAGGCAGTGACAGACTATGTATTTCTAGGTGCAGGCATGTAGCCGGGAGGGGGGGGGCTTGAGGGGCTTCAGCCCCCCCCCCCCCCGAAATTCTCATGGTGGTTTGCGAAAAGGCCTTACTGGTGCATTATTTAAACTGTTATGTTTATTCATATCATGATCTGATCACCATACTCAATATATCCCATATGCATGGGGGTATTGGGGTAATGATACAAAAGGTTTGCTAGGCTAGACCCTCTTTCACTCAGACTCAGCACCCCCCCCCCCCCCGAAACTCAGCCCCCCCGAACCCCCCTGAAAAAAATTGAGCCCCCCCCCGAAACGAAATCCTGGCTACGGGCTGGCCACGCCCATTCCTGCAGCTAGTCCCGCCTTCTATCCCAGGTGAGTGAGTGGCGTGATGACATCACGAGGAGTTCCCCCCTCCCTCTTTCACATTCTAACTGTCAGCTTCTTGAGGCTGTTTTCCAGGCGGAATCTCGAGGCGTGCCTAGGTGGCGACATGCGCTGAGCGTCTGGATTGAGCCCTCAATGGTAGGAGTTCGAATCCGGCTCAGGACGACGCGGTCACTGGACGGTCCCCTCGGAATTTTTGTTTTTTATTGGATAATAAAAATAATGATGATTCCTTATACTTTTGTCTGTTGTTTCTTTTTTATGATGGCGCATAATGGCTTGAAAGTATGTTTTTTAGATTACCGATAGGAATATGACCCATGTCAAACCAATTTTGGTTTTATTTTGAATTTGATTGAATTGTGTTCTTTTTCAAATTACTTAAACATCCATGCTGCTCGTAGATCCCTCTGCTTTCTCTGAGACCACCAATATTTCTGATGATTTCCATTTTGACCACCTTCTCAATTCATCATGTGCTTGCCATATTCACAACGTTCCTTTCTCCGTCGCCTTGTACAAAGGTGCTTCCATTCGTGTCACATTGGGAATCGTGTTCCAAAATCATGGTGCCTTGGGAGCTGATCTTCACAGGAGCTGCCTGTCCTTGAGGAATAAGAACTGGATTGGAAATATGGATGGAAAGCACCGTTCTCCGATGTGAGTAGATCTTTTGGATGGTTTTTCTATGGAGGAGGTGAACCAAGGCTGCGAAAGAATGACCCCAGAAGGACCATCTTCTAGATTTTTCCCAAAATGGGAAGATCGTCTAAACATGGGGATAGATATCCACCTCAAATAGGTTCAAGAAACATTTCCTGAATCAAAGACTTGCAGTTGTGCTGTACTTTTGATTTATTAAAAAATATTGCCAGCAACATGGCCCTTTAATTAAGGAAGAATTCTGAAAAATATTCAAGAATCAGAGTATTAGTTATACATCCCGTGAATATTGTGGTATGCTACGGAGGCCTGCGCTGACCTCTTCTTGCAACGGCCTGCCTGCCTGGCTTCCGGGACCAGGAGGTGCCAAATCTATAGTTATTAATAATAATATTAATAACAAGGCTGAATGGCCATCTATCGGAGGTGCTTTGACTGTGCTTTCCCTGCATGAAGGCAGAAGGAAGACAGTTGGACTACAGAGCCTTTACAGCTCCCTTCCAAAGCTGCTGCTGCTGCTGCTGCTGCTGCTGCTTCTTCTTCTTCTTCTTCTTCTTCTTCTTCGTCGTCGTCGTCATCTTCTTCTTATTATTATTATTAAATTTAAGGCTGGTTGGCCATATGTCAGGCGGCCCTTCACTTTGCTTTCCTTGCATGAAGGCAGAATGAAGAGTGTTGGACTAGAGAGCCTTTAGAACTCCCTTCCAACTCTCATTATTGTTGTTGTTGTTGTTGTTGAGGGGCTTGAGGGGCTTCATCCCCCCCCCCCAAAAATTCTCATGGTGGTTTGCGAAAAGGCCTTACTGGTGCATTATTTAAACTGTTATGTTTATTCATATCATGATCTGATCACCATACTCAATATATCCCATATGCATGGGGGTATTGGGGTAATGATACAAAAGGTTTGCTAGGCTAGACCCCTTTCACTCAGACTCATCCCCCCCCCGAAACTCAGCCCCCCCCGAACCCCCCTGAAAAAAATTCAGCCCCCCCCCCCGAAACGAAATCCTGGCTACGGGCCTGTCTAGGTGCAAAGATTACTGCAGAGCCAGGAAATCAGGAGACGCTTACTTCTTGGGAGGAGAGCAATGGCCAATCTCGATAAAATAGTGTAGAGATATCACACTGGCAACGAAGACCGCATAGTTAAAGCAATGGTATTCCCCATAGTCACCTACGGATGTGAGAGCTGGACCTTAGGGAAGGCTGAGCGAAGGAAGATCGATGCTTTTGAACTGTGGTGTTGGAGGAAAGTTCTGAGAGTGCCTTGGACTGCGAGAAGATCCAACCAGTCCATACTTCAGGAAATAAAGCCCGACTGCTCATTGGAGGGAAGGATAGGAGAGGCAAAGATGAAGTACTTTGGCCACATCATGAGAAGAAAGGAAAGCTTCGAGAAGTCAATGATGCTGGGGGAAATGGAAGGGAAAAGGAAGAGGGGCCGATCAAAGGCAAGATGGATGGATGGCATCCTTGAAGTGACTGGATTGACCTTGAAGGAGCTGGGGTAAAGCCTAGAGAAGTCAATGATGCTGGGGGAAATGGAAGGGAAAAGGAAGAGGGGCTGATCAAAGGCAAGATGGATGGATAGCATCCTTGAAGTGACTGGACTGACCTTGAAGGAGCTGGGGGTGGTGACGGCCTACAGGGAGGTCTGGTGTGGGCTGGTCCATGAGGTCAGGAAGAGTCGGAAACGACTGAACGAATGAACAATATATGCATATGGGGTCTGTGTATAGGTATGTTTATATTGGTAGAATGTGTCTATATACATGGTGCATACACAAACTCATATATACTGTATATATGGTTGGGGGGAAAGCCACTACCAGCGGTGCCTGCAGGGCCATCCCTCCCTCCCTTCCCAGCTGAGCACCAGCAGATCCTGGCGAGGGACCCCCTGCGGGAGAAGTAGCCCTGCGCCTGTCACGTGACGCTGCCAGCCAGCCAGCCAGCCGACGCCTTCCCCGCGGGCGCCGTGATTCGAATCCGTGCTCTGACCCGACGCTGAGTGACGCCGAGGCTCGCCCCGCCCACCTCCCTCCGAGGCCCCGCCCCCTCCCGCCTGATTGGCCCTTTCGAACTGTGCGGGCGGAGGCGGCGGAATGAATCGGGCCGCGCAGGGGCTGCGAAGGCAGCGGCAGGCAGGATCCATGCCCGTGTGGCAGGCAGGTGAGGCGGAGGGCGAGGGTGGGGAGGCTGCCAGCACCTCTCTGGTTGGGGGAGCCCTGGTGGAGCCCTGCAGGCAGCGCAGCCCCCGCCCCAGGGAAAGACTTCAGACCTCTCCAAGGTTTTGACTGGGAAAGAGGGCAGAACCGGTGCCAGCATTGAGAGAGTGAGTCTACATCAGGCATTGGGCCAACTTGGACCCTCCAGGTGTTTTGGACTTCAACTCCCACAATTCCTAACAGCCTACCGGCTGTTAGGAATTGTGGGAGTTGAAGTCCAGAACACCTGGAGGGCCCAAGTTGGCCCAATGCCTGGGCTACACCATGTAAAATTAACCCAGTTTGGTTCAATATAATATTATGATGTAGTGCAATATAATACTAGTTCTAATATGATATTATAATTATATAATTTATACTAGCCGTCCCTTGCCATGCATTGCTGTGGCCCAGTCTGTGTATATGTCTTAATGTGTGTACATGTGTATATAAGTGGTTTCGTGCAGGCGTTGTAATGTATTTTTGTTATTTGTTTGGATTTTTAAGTCTCTTCTATTGTGTTTTTCAGTGATTTTACGAGTGATGGTTATTCGTTGGCCTAATAGGTGTATTGTGTCCAACTTTGGTGTCAATTTGTCCAGTGGTTTTTGAGTTATGTTAATCCCACAAACAAAAATTACATTTTTATTTATATAGACTAGCCGTCCCCTGCCACGCGTTGCTGTGGCCCACATGGGGGTTCTGTGTGGGAGGTTTGGCCTAATTCTATTGTTGGTGGGGTTCAGAATGCTCTGTGATTGTAGTGAACTATAAATCCCAGCAACTGCAACTCCCAAATGTCAAGATTCTGTTTTCTCCAAACTCCACCAGTGTTCACATTTGGGCATATTGAGTATTCGTGTAGAGTTTGGTCTAGAGCCATCATTGTTTGAGTCCACAGCGATCTCTGGATGTAGGTGAACTACAACTCCAAAACCAAAGGATACTGCCCACCAAACCCTTCCAGTATTTTCTGTTTGTCATGGGAGAACTGTGTGCCAAGTTTGGTTCAATTCTATCGTTGGTGGGGTTCAGAATTCTCTTTGATTGTAGGTGAACCATAAATCCCAGCAACTACAACTCCCAAATGACAAAATCGTTGTTTTTTTTAGTGAAGGACATACATTGGGTTGTGTCCAAATTTGGTGTCAATTCGTCCAGTGGTTTTTGAGTTATGTTAATCCCACAAACAAAAATTCCATATATATATATATATATATTACATGTGATCTTACTAATATTATTACAATATAATGGTATAGTACAATATAGTAATATTTAATACTGATATAGTACTATGCTGATAATATAATATATTTTATGTATATATATCTTCTAAGCCACTCTAAGTCCCCTTCGGGATGAGAAGGGCGGCATATAAATGTCATAAATAAATATATTTTGCTCTCCACTTCCATTAGAGTGAGTTTGTTAAGGTTGCTCTCTAGGACTACTTATGAGAAAGCAGAAATAATGCTTATTATTTATTATTTTATTCATATCCCATCCTTACCTTTATTTTTAGCACGCGTTTTGTGGCCTGATGTCATTTCTGAATTATGGCAACCCTATGGTGAGGTTTTCATTCGTGGAAGAATAGATTCAGGAAGGTTTTGCCCTTTGCTTTCCTCTGAGGCTAGAGTGTGTGACTTGCCCAAAGTCACCCAATCAGCTTCCATGGCTGAGCAGAATTGGAGACCTGGCGTTCAGTGTCTTAAGCCAACACTCCATCCCCAGGCATGGGCAAACTTGGGCCCTCCAGGTGTTTTGGACTTCAAATCCCACAATTCCTAACAACCTATGACTGTTAAACCCTTGTGCCAGCAGGACTGAAGACCGACAGGTTGGAGGTTTGAATCCGGAGAGAGCACGGATGAGCTCCCTTTGTCAGCTCTAGCTCCCCATGTGGGACATGAGAGCAGCGTCCCATAAATATGGCAAAACATCAAAAAATCTGGGTGTCCCCTGTTCAATGTCCTTGCAGATGGCCAATTCTCTCGCACCAGAAGCGACTTGCAGTTTCTCAAGTTGCTCCTGACACACACAAAAATTTCATTATTACAATTTATGTAGGTGTGTCCATTACTCTTAATAGGAGTTGGTTTAACCTCTGGTTTGCTAGTAAAACTGAATTACTGTGTCACAAAGTGTCTAAAAAAGAATGAAATGTTTGTAAAGCGCTCTCTACCCCAGTGTTTCTCAGCCTGGGGGTCGGGACCTCTGGGATGGTCGTGAGGGGGTGGCAGAGAGGTCACCAAAGACTATCAGAAAACAGTATTTTCTGTTGATCATGGGGGTTCTGTGTGAGAAGTTTGGACCAATTCTATCATTGGGGGGTTAATAATCTAGAACTGATGTGGTAGTAGTAATCTTTCGTGGGTAGTCTGCCTCTCCCCTCCCAACATCCCCATTGCCTCGGCACTATAAGAAGGTTTTGTGATATCAGTTGCTATCATTACCGTGTGGTTTCAAGGCAACGGTGTAGTAATGGTGAGGCAATGGACCATGTTTTTGTTCTTGCGACCACTGGTGGTCCACAGACCACAGGTTGGGAACCACTGTTCTATAGCTACTACATTGGTAGATACATTGGCTGTGGTTCTATCATAAAAACATGGAGAAAGCTTTATTAAACTGCAGCACATTTTGCTATAGTTTTTCAATGAATATTTCACAGAGTCTCAACCAATTCAACATAGTTTGTGGCAGTTACAAAAACAAAGTTTCTGGAGTATAACAAGTACTTTCAAAGTTAAGTACTGCACAATTAAAGAGGAAATAACACTTGAAAACCAGAAATGGAACATTTTCCCACTTTCGTTACTTTTTTATTTTACTCTATTATTGTTGTTATTATGTTTACATTATTTTACTCTATTATTATTGAAAGGATACGTAAGCACATTTATATTGAAGAAGGTTAGAATAATTGTTGAATCAGAGTTGGGCAGTCTTAAATTACAGTTTTATGTAAATATTCTGAAACATTTAGCCTCAATTAATATAATTTTATTGGTATCTATTTTTATTTTGAAATTGACCAGTAGCTGCTGCATTTCCCACCCTTAGCTTATACTTGAGTCAGTATGTTTTCTCAGTTTTTTGTGGTAAAATTAGGTGCCTCGGCTTATATTTGGGTCAGCTTATACTCAAGTAAATATGGTAAATCCCAGTACTTAAAAAAAAAAAGAGTTACATGACAAGATGTTTGATAAGATTTGGCATTAGCTCAGATGTCCCTTGACCATGATGTTTCATAAACTTTCAAAACCTGTTGTACCAGCAAGTGTGGATTTAGGATAAAGAGTACCAAGAGCATTGCAAGCCAGAACAGGACATTAGCATTGGAAGGAGGTTTGTTGAGGCACACACGCTCTGCTGATGGTTAAGCATAGTAGCAGAATAAAAACACCTTACAACTTTGTGATGAAATACATGGGGGGGGGGGAGTATGCTCTTTGCGGGGTTGGTTTCCATAATTTCAATCTATAGTATTGTGTAGAATAGTTGTTTTTTTTTAAAAAAGAAAACAACCTTTGGAAGTTGTAGTATTAGAAGAATTGGGTTTACTCTTGTACTCCTCACTTGCTTAGTCTCTAAATCAAGACTCCCCCATTGCAGTCAGTGTAGACCACATTCGTGATGCAAAGTTTCAAGTAGTTCAGAACTAAGAATACCAAGCTACAGTCCAAAATGGGGGGTTTGTTTGTTTTTTTTTGGGTATGGATTTTTATAATGTTGTGCTAAATGCTTTTAAATTGTATTTTATGACCATTGTGGCATCAAATTGCTGCCAATTTGTAAGCCGCCTTGAGTCACCTTTGGGCTGAGAAAGACAGGATAGAAATACCATAATTAAATAAATACAGTAATGCATAAAATACATGCACTGCAAGGCATTGACCACAGTGGAAGGTATTGCTGAATAAACTTGCATAGGATGCACTTTGAGAGATTTGTATCTATTCCTTTGCCTGTCATAATGTATACAGTTACTTGGACTATATTCAGCTGATTTCCCTGTGTGCACATGGTTGAAAGAAGATACATTGCAAAGAGATGTCTACCTTCCTTCCTTCCCGAGATCTACTAAAGCTGAATATCTGTAGGGATTGCTAATTAACAAATCAGAATCTGGATTCAAATATCCATTCTGTATCTAGGAACATATACTAAACTTTGACAAAAAGTAGAGTAAAAGAACATGTGTTTCAGACTATCAATGCTCTAATGTTGCATTTTTTTTTCAGATTATGACATTCACTGACTCATAAATACACTGATGTCCCAATGACCAAATAAGAAGCTGTTTTATACCATGAGTTATCTAAAATGTTGTCATGATGTCTTTTTGGACATATTAAAATATACTTAAAATAGGAATATTGTGACTGCATTTCCTGTGTAATGAAATGATATATTCGGCTAAAAACCAGTTTTGTTGGAAAGAACCGTCTGTATTCAACTCTGGGATAGCCCAGGAAGAAGCAACAATATTACTTCTCAATGAGCTAAATTCAGTTCATAGTTTGCCTCCTTCTCCTTCATCACGAAAATTTACAGGCATTGAGGATAAAAATTTATAATTGGTATCCATTATACAAGCAATTTGGGAAAAATGCATTAGAAACAAAACAGATTAATGTTATCACTAGAGAGGAACATACCATAGTATTTAATGCAAGTAACATTGTTACTTGCATTAAATACCAGTGGCACAGTGCGTTAAACCGCTGAGCTGCTGAACTTGCTGACCAAAAGGTCAGTGGTTCAAATCCGGGTAACAAGGTGAGCTCCCGCTGTTAGTCACAGCTTCTTCCTCCCTAGCAGTTCGAAAACATACAAATGTAAGTAGGTCAGTAGGTACTGTTATGGAAGGAAGATAACGGTGCTCCATGTAGTCATGCAGGCCACATGACCTTGGCGGCCTCTATGGACACTGCCAGCTTTTCGACTTTGAAATGG